TACCCTACCAATTGGCATGTTTTGAAGTTTATGGACGCACGCGCATGCTCACACGCACACACGCACACGCACGTGCGCGCACACAAAAAAATATGTACGTGTGTATATCTGCCGGAAAGAATTTCGCTCGTTTATCGTAAATTGAGTCGGAGAAGTCAACTCGGTTTCGAAGGTCTTCTCACAGCCTCTGAAATACTATACATCCGGTCACGTGAATGTTTAATAAATGCAACTATACCATACCGAGAACTTGTATACCAGAAGTCATTTTGGGGAAATAAATTAATATAGCTTTGAACTTATCCGTATTAATATATGCTAGTTACTCATACCATGCACTGATGTGAACTGTAATGCATACTACTAAACTGTTGTTTTTAAGTTCGAAAGGGGTAAATAAGAAAAAAAGATGGATATTACATTCTGAAGTAATATTCATTAGCATCACCAATTGTAATGATGTCTGTATATTAAAACACACATGATAAATAAACCGAAAATGATTAGAAACTTAAAAAGGCTAATTGAGGCATTTCACTCTTTTTAGGAGTCTGCGGGCTTGGTTAACCTCGGTCACCCATGTCCGTTCTGCGGCAAGAGTTCCTTCAGAGACCAGTCAGACCTGAGGCGTCACATAAGGATCCATACAGGGGAGAGGCCTTACAGCTGCCCTCGCTGCCCTTACACCGCTAACAGGAACGAGCACCTGGCCGCTCACCTCCGTAGAAAGCACCCCGTGGAGTGAATCAACTGACCACTGGATGAACAAACGCCAAGCTGCTCATCGACGGAGAAAACATCTAACGAGCGGACACCTAACACCTAACTCGCCTTCGTAAAAATAATTTAGTAGGAGTGACACAGCTGACACACAACTGAATGAACACCTGGCGACCTGCCTACGTAAGATACGTATAGTAGAGTGGCACAATTGATCACTTCACTCAACGAACTTCTAGCGACCCGCCTACATAGATAGATAAAAAACAAAATCGTCAAAGTTCACTGGAAATTTTGAGTCTGAAAAAGGTCAAAGTCTGCGCTTTGCTGACTGACCAAAGGGAGTTTACACAGAGGATAACTCACTGAATAAGGAAAGACGAATGAGCTATATATATATTTGACAAAGGGTTGTTATTGGGTAAAACATGTGTATCTGTTTGTATTTTCAGAAGTTCATATTAATGAAGTGACCAGAAATTATTATTTTTAAATTATTTTTGTTCCATGGTAGTGACTATTACTGTAATGTGTTAGATGTAATTATTATTATTATTTTTATTATTATTATTGTTATTATTATCACTATTACTACTACTACTACTGCTATTATGATACCTGCTACCATTATTACTACTGTAACTTATATTACTATTATGATGATGAAAAATTATATTTTTTTGCCATTATCATTATTATAAGCACAATATATTGGGCTATTAATGTTTTTCGATTATTTTTGCTAATATAATTTTGTTCAGTTTGCTGACTTTATATACTAATATGATTAATTATTTAGATGTCCTGAAGTGACGCAGTATCACTTTTTATTACCTCAAGAATCGTTATGATCAGCTTGGTGCTTCTGCAGTTTCTAACTATGAGAATATGCAGAATATTAATAACATTACTACACAATTAATATGTATACAGGTACAACAACTGTAATTTTGATAAACGGCATGATAAGTATATACCATTACTTAGATAACATACGTTTAATATGTTTTCTAATCATAGCTATAGGTTTTGGGTGATACCAGCACAAAGTTTCGTCTTAAATGTTAAAGTTGAACGGCAAAAAAGAGTATATAGAAAAATTATCCATTTAGGTTTTATTAAAGAAGGATTTCTCTCTTAAGTGTTTGGATTATGGCCCTTGGCAAAATTTGGTAAGGGAAACGTGCCGAAATTTGTAATGTCAAGATTTCCGCTGTGTGTGGGGAAAAAAATTATTTGCAAGAGTACAAAGGCCTTTGAAGTTTAACCGATGACCAAGTGTGTGATAACGAACACTGAAATATCTGCGGTGTACTAAGGAAACATCGCAGAAATCTTTGGACGCACAATCGCAGTGACATTTTAGATAGGTGAGAAAATGATCGCAAATTTCTTGAAAAAAAATATCCATTATAACGAGATAATTAATCCAATGCAGATTCTTATGACTGATTTATTTTTAGCATGGAATAGTTGTATAGTAATTTATGTTTTCTTGGGAGTGGGGAAAGATCGGGCTGAAAAATCTTACCTTCCACCGAAAGTTGATGCTTCTTGCATCTGCACACAGTGATGCAATGTTGAACTAGCCACATTAGTATTTGATTTAATTTTATATGTAATATATTTTTCATATGTTAAACCTTCCATGTGTTGTACTTTGATCTATTCAAACACTTCGAGGTGGACTGTTTATGATGAAATGCTCCATCGTCTCCTAGTAGGCAAGTGAACATTTCATTGATTAAAAATTGCATTATTACCTTACATGTGAGTAAAAAGGTTTTTCTTCAGTGGATATAATCTGCCAATATATATATATATATATATATATATATATATATATATATATATATATATATATATGTATATAGTGTGTGTGTATACATATATATATGTGTGTGTGTGTATATATATATGTGTGTGTGTGTGTGTATATGTGTGTATGTGTGTGTATATGTGTGTATATGTGTGTATGTGTATGTATGTGTGTATGTGTGTATGTGTGTGTGTGTGTGTGTGTGTGTGTGTGTGTGTGTGTGTGTGTGTGTATGTGTGTGTGTGTGTGTGTGTGTGTGTGTGCTGTATGCATGAATGAATGCTTTTGTGTTTATATGAGTGTACGCAAGAATTAATAATCTTATTTCAAAAACTTTTAATCATACTCAGTATGCCTTTTACTGATATGTTCATAAATCACAGCATGGTATTTATCCCCTTGTGTCGATTTACAATGTCAGAATATAGAAATATTGCACAAGTACAGGACAGCAGAGTAGGAAGCACAATTTTATTAGCACAATTATACATTAATATATAAAAAGTTTATATATATATGTATATATATGTATATATATGTATATATATAGGTATATATAAATATGTGTATATACATATATATATATTTATATATATGAAAGGGTTTGACAAATAATGTCTATAATTAATTTACACCCTAAGTAAAGCTACGAGGTTCAAGGCGGTTCACAAGTCAATAGTACAAGTGAAGCTTTAAACTTATGGGAGAAGCTCAAGTATTTTTTTCTGTATTGCATTTTGGGGAATATAAGTTCATAGTGAAACCAGTTTATATTCTTGAACACCTTTGATAGCTCATGTGAAAACAAGTGTCTTTTCTACAGACCCTCTCTTTTTCTCTCACTCTCTTTCTTTCCTTCTCTCTCTCTCTCTCTCTCTCTCTCTCTCTCTCTCGCTCTCTCTCTCTCTCTCTCTCTCTCTCTCTCTCTCTCTCTCTCTCTAGCTATCACTCAAAAGCGCACACACTCACTCACTCACTCACCCACCCACTCACTCACTCACTCACTCACTCACCCACTCACTCACTCACTCACTCACTCACTCACTCACCCACTCACTCACTCACTCACTCACTCACCCACTCACTCACTCACTCACTCACTCACTCACCCACTCACTCACTCACTCACCCACTCACTCACTCACTCACTCACTCACCCACTCACTCACTCACTCACTCACCCACTCACTCACTCACTCACCCACTCACTCACTCACTCACTCACTCACTCACTCACTCACCCACTCACTCACTCACTCACTCACCCACTCACTCACTCACTCACTCACTCACTCACTCACTCACTCACTCACTCACCCACTCACTCACTCACTCACTCACTCACTCACTCACCCACTCACTCACTCACCCACTCACTCACTCACTCACTCACCCACTCACTCACTCACTCACTCACTCACTCACTCACTCACTCACTCACTCACTCACTCACTCACCCACTCACTCACTCACTCACTCACTCACTCACTCACCCACTCACTCACTCACCCACTCACTCACTCACTCACTCACTCACTCACTCACTCACACTCACACACACAGTTTATATAATAATATACAAGTATACATCTCTTCAGAATATTAGATACACTTCATACCTGCACAACTAACTCATCTCACCGGAAATTGCGCTTTCGGCATATGATCTTGCAGATTGACATTTCGTCTGATTGAAATGTTGAGAAGGATGAGCCTCTCGCTTACCTCTTGACAGCCTGGGCACCTGCAGGTAGTTCGGCCCTCGGAAAGCCTTCAGAAGAGATGATTAAATTGAGATCATCCATGCAGCCGATACTAGCCTTTACAAATCTTCTTTAGCTGACACGTGAAGTTTAAGTGCCTTGAAAATGTAGGCCACGTAACCAATTTTTACTATATTAGGAAGTGGTGTTTAAAAAATGATATGCATACCGGTATCAATCAAATGTGAATGAAATAGATATTATTAGTACTGTATGTTTGCTGTTTTTTTCAACTTTATTGTATAAGATCTATGAATCACAGATATGTTGTACGAGTTGTGACAATATGATTTATTATTGAATAAAATTGCTTGATATGTAAACGTAAAGCTTGTGATTCAATCCCAGTTATCCCGCTCCATCCTCTCTCTCTCTTGCTCAGACTCTGTCTGTTCCTTTCTCTCTCCTCCTCTCCTTCTCTCCTTCCCTCCCTATTCTTTTAGTGTGTCAAAGAAAATATATACCTCGTATAATATTCAGTAGCTGTATCTCGAAACGGGTTTCCATGACCCTAATGCCAATTCTTAACATAGTATCAAAGCGCACGCGCGCGCGCTCACACACACGCATTTATATTTATATATTTATATGTATATATACACACACACATGTGCGTATGCATATATATATATGTAATATATATATACACATACACATGTACATACACTCGCACACACACACACACACGCACACACACACACACACACACACACACACACACACACACACACACACACACACACACACATACACACATTATACAATACAATACACACGTATTGTACAGGGCAGTCCATATCTTGAACGGGAATTTTCTTCTTTTGTTATATTGCATAAGATGAAAAGACAAGACGCGTGTTTTACCATAAATCGAACTGCTATTTGCTAATGACAAACTTCTTTAACTGCCCTTATATAAGAGATATATTCATTTTTTTAAAAATATAATACATACTAAAACAAATCTTTAAATATTTTATAGGTAGCAGAGAGAGGGAGCAACATCGACAACCAGCTGCGTCTGCATCGATGCCCCGTTTGTGCCCGCAAGTTCGAATCTCCTTACAAATTAACACGTCACCTCAGGATCCATACAGGAGAGAAGCCTTTTGCCTGTCCTCACTGCCCTCACCGCAGCAGCCGGAAAGATGCATTGCAACACCATGTTCTTGCTAAACATCAGTGTTAATATCACACTGATTAAAGATTTGGCCATCGACGAACATGTGTAAAGAATTCATGGTGAACAACTTGTAAATTTAATAACGAAGGGAAGAACACGGAAAAAACATGAATAATGCCGATGGTCTTTTCGTGTGTTTTCCCGTTCTTCTGTTCTTCTCTTCGTTGTTTTATTAAAAAGATTAGAAAAACAGAGAAAAAAAATGTTTTATGGGTGTAACTGTCAATTTCAATTAAAGCCTTTACATAGTTGTTTTTAATTACAGAAAGGCAGAATAAATATGTGTTGTATATACATCTTTTTCTTCTCTCGCAGTAATGTGAGCTCTTGCAATATTTTTGCGTGTAATAGCATTGATGGCATTCTAAAGGTGTTTGATATAGTCTATTTTCAAGTACAGGATTCTGATCGCGAGATTGTAACAGAACCATATTTGTTTTAAGTATGAAGTCAATTTTTTGCTCAAGCTAAATGAATATAATGACTTTGAGTCTAATCTAAAATCTTATTATGGTAATGTAATCAAGAACGAGTAACCATAATACTTAACAAAGACCCAGACCTTAGTTTCGTCAAGAAAACAATTTCAGTGATCGAAGTCCTGTCCTTAATCTATATGTATACGACTGACTTATAAGTTAGCATTTGCAATAAAAAAAATATTTTATCTTGGTTAGCCTAGGTACTTTAACAGTCTTGATATGTGATGGACAATATAAAAAAGATAAATCCTTTTTTAATTGATTTCTTATGGCACCATTTGCCACCTTTTTCTTATTAATAAAGATAGTTATCTTGGACTTTACTCAATTGGGAGTTAGTGGTTGGACGAATCAAGAATTATGTAACAGTACAATATTCCAGAAATAAACCTTTATGAATCTGCATCTTGTCTTTTTATTCTGGAACACTGATAATATGAAGAAAATTTCAGTAAGTTTCAAAGGATAAGGGAGGGGGAAGTGAATGGGTACTGATTGACGGAGACACTGAATGTCGAGAGAGGGTATTTACAATATTTCAAAGACGTTTTCTAAGCACTTTCAGGTTGTAACATCATACCAGCAGTGAGTAGATTCAGGGTGTCATGGTTACAGTCTGGAAAATCAGCTCTTTAATACATGTATAATACTTTACTGGGTAAATGATTTTCCCCCGGTACTAGATATAATTTCAGTCGACATTTTGTTACCAATTTGAACACAACCGTATTTACATTGTAACCTAAATAGTTTCATGTACTTCTCTTTATTTTGGTTTACTTTGTTTATCATGTATCTCATCGTCTTGAGTCACTTAACAATCACGTTAAATTCCACGGTGGTGTATACCCACAAAAAGAAGAAACAAAAGCGAGAATTGTAGCCAATGTATATGCAATGGAGAAAAAAGAGAGAAAAAAAAAACATGCTTAGTTTTACCATCATACATAAAGAAAGAAAGAAAGGGGAGATAGCATAGATTAAAATGAACAAGACACTGAATCAATATTAAAGAAAATTGAAGAGCTACAGGCAGGGGCCGGATATTCAAAAAATTAAAATGTATCTCGTACAAAAACCGTTACAATGTTGTATGACGACACACATTGTAAAGTATTCTATAACTGTTCTAGGGTTCTTGTTTCAGATACATGCCCTCAACAAATCAAAATAATGTTTTATACCTAATGAAATCATTATCATTGGAAATCTAAGGCTTTCTCTGCCGCGTCCTTCGTATCTGCAATTTCTTGCAATTCCATTTTATTTTTGCTGCCGAATTTCAAGGAATATCATAATGAAACGCACGTGAAATTGATATAACATGAAACAGAAAAGTATAATGTTAGTTTTAGGCCCAAATTAGTAAAACAACAACAACAACAAAAAAAAAAACGCAATACAATTTGGCATCATAGGCAACATCAGATGAAAATGAGAAATAATGAATTGAATTTCTTTACGTGGCTATTAATCATTAAACTCGTAAAAGACTGTTTATAACTTTTTCCAATAAGGAATAAGAATCTAGGA